GTTTTGAACCGGACAGTCCAGTATTTGAGCTTTCTGTTCGGGAAACAAATTGAGAAAATATAAATGTCCAGTATTTTCTAAATAAGATGTAATGTAGATTGTGATGTAATATCAAGTGTGTCCCGTATTTTTGTTGAAACCATCTGGCAACCCTAGTTGCCCCCCTCTCACTTGCTCGGCTGTGCTCTGTTTTCCTGCAGCTGCTGCTGCCATAGGGAATGCAGGGGGTTCCAACTGCTGCTGGCACCCTATGCGAGGCCCCCTCCAGTAATACGTCCTTGGGGACAGGGTACCATGCAGGTGGGGGGGGGGGAAAAGGGGGGCAGGATGATGGCAAGAAGGGGCAGAGCTTGGGGAATGGTAAAGGACAGCCCCTCCCCACTTACCTCCTGGCCTGCCAGGACTCCTAGGCCAGTGACTGTTGTGCCAGGCCACAAATGCTCTGGCTGGGAATGGCCCATGGAGTGAGAGTTTGAGACCCCTGATCTAAACTATATAGCTTTTAGCTACATGGCTGGATTGACACAGCCAGGTTGCTAAAAGTAAGTAAGTACATAGCCACTGTTTGTTAGCCCTTTTGCCAACAAAATACTTACAACCCCAACAAGTGGCATTCATTTCACTGGCAGAAGAGTTCTGCTGACAAAGTGCTATTCACACGAGCACTTGTCATGGCAAAACTTTTGTCTTTCAGGGGTTGAAAGTTAACATCTCTGAAAAACTAAAGTTCTATTATTCAATTACCAGCGTAGACATAACTTGGGTCTCTTTCAATATTTCTGCTCCTCAAGTCACCAACCAGTCCAGATTATTTTTCCTTGTCTCTTTCAGGTCCCTAAATGAATCCCTTTGTTTAAGTGTGATCTGCTTGTACACAAAAGTTATTGCCCCCATCTCAGGGTAAGTCTACTCTTAAACTCACTATGACAGAGAAAGATGAATTAATCACTGGACTGGAAGTGGGTGCTTCCTTAGGAACCAGAGATCATGATCAGATTACATTCAATATTGGAAAACAACAGAACTGGCATAACTTCAAAAGGACTAATTTCCCAAATCTGAGGAAAGTGGTGAGCAAAATGGATTGGGAAGATAAATTCAGACAGAAAAATATGAATAAAAATTGAAAATTCTTTAAGAATAGTTTATTATATAGCTAAAAAGCCATCTTTCTACTAGCAAAAAAGATAATAGCTTTGGCTAAAAGCCCATCCTGGCTCAGCAGCAAAATGAAGGCAGCAATTAAAAATAAATATTTAATATAAATATAACAAAAGGATAGAGGAATAGATGGCAATCAGTATACATTAGAATTTATTAAGTACAGAAAATTGATGAGGCAAGCTTAAGACACCAAAAAAACATAGCTGCAAGAGCTAAGGACAAAAAGGTTTTTTACAAATGAAAGTGTACCAATGGTGTAAGCTAGATGAATATGGCAAAATTATTAATAATGATGCAGAAAAGGCAGAAGCATTCAATAAATAGTTTTTTTCTGTGTATGGAAAAAGTAGATGAAGTATTCATAGCATGGGAGAATGACAAAGTGCTGTCTAGTCCATTAATAACTGAGGAAGATGTTAGATATCTGCACTGAGTGATAAACATTTTAAGATCAGCAGTCCAAGATAACTTGCACCCAAGGGTTCTAAAAGAGTTGGCTCTGGAAAGCTCTGGAATGCTGGTGTTAATTTTTAATGAATCTTGGAATGGTAGACATATTCTAGAAGACAGGAGGAGTGCTAATGTTGAGCAATAATCAAAAAAGGGCAACTGGGATTATCCAAGTACCTGCATGCCAGTTTGACTGACATCAATGTAGGCAAACTAATGGAAAAGCTGATATGGGATTCAACTAATAAAGAATTAAAGAGTAGGAATATAATTTATGACAGTCAACATATTATACAAAATAGGTCTTGTCCATAATTCCAATTTCAATCTTTGATGAGATTATAAATTTGTTTGATAAAAGTAACCAGGTAGATATGATGTCCTTGGTGTTTGACTTAGTACCACACATGGTGTTTGACTTAGTACCACACAACTTTTGATTTAAAAAGAGACACAATGAAATATCTGAAAAGCACACACCATGGCTTTGTCTACATTGGCACCCTTTTCCAGAAAAGGGATGCTAATGAGACATTTTGGAATTGCAAATGCCGCGGGGGATTTAAATATCCCCTGCGGCATTTGCATGAACATGGCTGCCGCTTTTTTCCGGCTCGGGGCTTTGCCTACCTGAAAGTAGGAATAAGGGATCTTGCGGAAAAGGGCTTATTTTCCGCAAGATCCCATCTAGACTGGCACTTTTCTCCGGCAAAGCCCCGAGCCGGAAAAAAGCGGCAGCCATGTTCATGCAAATGCCGCGGGGGATATTTAAATCCCCCACGACATTTGCAATTCCGAAATGTCTCATTAGCATCCCTTTTCTGGAAAAGGGTGCTAGTGTAGACACAGCCCATATGTATTAAGAACTAGCAAACAAGCAGAACTAAAAAAATAGCTGTCACTGGGAAATTGTATCATAGAATAGAGCTGTTTCGAGTGGAATTCTATTGGAATCTGTATTTTCAACATATTTTATCAATGATCTGGAAGGAGATGTAAAATCATTGCCGCCAACATTTTCAGAAGGCATACTGATTGGCAGAGTGGTAAATAATGAGGACAAGGTAGTCTTGAGTGAGGGTCTGTCTTTTTGTTCTGCTTGTACAATGTCTAGCTCAATGAGGTCCTGGTTCATAACTTGGGCTCCTAGATGCTTTGTTAATACAAATAATAATGACATGTGGGGTGATCTGAATTGCTTGACAGACTGGGCCTGTTCAAGCAAAACATATTTTGATATAGAGAAATACAAAGTTATATGTATGAAGAAGGAACAGAGGCCACACCTATAGAATGGGAAACTTTCTCTTGGAATGAAGTGATTTTGGAAAGGATTTAGAGCTCAGAGCAGAAAAGTAATTGAATATGAGCTCCCAGGATGAAGGTGAGGCAAAAAGGGCAAATATGATATTTGGATATACAAAAGGGGGAATACTGAGTCAGAGCTGGGAAGCAACTTTTTGAGGGGGGAGAAGAGGAGTTTGGCTGTATATGTCATTGAAGAGACCGATATTGGAAAACTGCCTACTGAAACTGCCTCCAAGGGAAGTGATAGATTATCTATCTTTTGATGTCTCCTAAAGTGAATGCCTTTTTTGGATGATATGCGTTAGCTGAACACAAGTTATTGGACTCAATACATGGGGTAATTGAGTGAAATATAATAGCTTGTGTTATACAGAGATCAGGCTAGATGATCCAATGGATCTTTCTGCCCTTAAACTCTAGGGCTACGTCTACAATGCAGGCTTCTTGCACAAAAACTGTTTTGCACAAGAGATGTGCTTTTGTGCAAGAGTGTCCACGGTAGCATGGACACTCTCTTGCGCAAGAAAGCTCTGATGGCCATTTTAGCTATAGGGCTTTCTTGCGCAAGAAATTCATGTTACCTGTTTACACTGACTTCTTGTGGAAGAGCTCTTGCGTAAGAGGGCTTATTCCTCATGGGGAAAGGAATAACTCTTCCAGAACAAGCCCTGTTTTCCGACGCTGTACTGTAAATTTACTTGTGCAAGAATGCCTGTGCAGTGTAGACACTAAGTTTTTGCAAAAGAACAGCTGTTCTTGCGCAAAAAGCCTGCAGTGTAGATGTAGCCTAGGAACGGTGCTAAGAACTAGATAAGAAAGGAACAAGTCAGGATTGTCCCAGTCCTACCACATGAATGAAGGGGGAACCCAGCAAACTGAGCAATCATGGGCTGCACTGGCAGATTGCTCAGGCCCACACTTAAGTGGCAAACTGTGCCCAGGAAAGCTCATGATACCATCTATATATTTTGTTAGTCTATAAAGTGCTACCACACCTTGTGTTGTTTTTTAAGTTTAAAACAGACAACAGTCACCCTCACTTTTCACATGGAGATGACAGGTTCCAGCAAACAATGCAATCCCTGCAGCCTAGCTCTTCACCATAGCATGGAGAGCAGGCACTTCCTCCCACTCCCTGGTAGCACAGAGGGAAAGGACCCCTAGGAGAAATGTAGGTCCCACAAAGCTGTGCTCTGCCATGGATGAGTTTGTTGTACCAAGGAGCAGGGCCCCACTAGGACCAGTCATCCTGCAGGCAGCCCCAAGGCCGACTGGGGACGTCTCTGCAGGAGGCTGCTCTGTGACATGCACAGCCTGCTTTGGCAGGCCCCAGCAGGGACAAGAACACACACACTAGAAAGTAACACAACGTGCGTGTGTGGACGGAGACCACATCCGCCCCACCCCCCACAAAACTACCACAACAGGTGGGGTGGGGAGACAGGGGCTCTCTTGAACCCCTCCCTCTGCATGTACACTAGATAGAAGATACCAACATGAGTGTGTGGGAGGGGGTCACGTCTTTACCTCGGAGGCAGGAGCTACAATGTGGGGGGGCTACAGCCTCCCCTCCCCCCGAAAGCACCACAAGCTGTGGGGGGACGGACCAACCTCCCCCTCGCCTCCCAGAACACTACAGCCGGGCGGAGCACGGCCTGAGCCCCTGGAACGTACCACAACGGCGGGGGGGGGGGGGGGGGGGGGGGGGGACC